AATTATAATATAAGTCATCTTCTAAAAGCTTGTGTAGTCCAAAATATAGAGAATTTAATAACTTTTATAATTATTTTTTAATTATACCCCTATTTCATTTAAAATGATGCATTAGAATTTTAATTATTATAATCAAAGTACTTATATATGGTGTGTAATGAAGGTAAAATTAAAAAGATATAACTTTTTTAAAAAATTAAGATTTCAACTAATATTTTTTGAGAAATGTGAATTAATCACCAATATGCTTTGGATGAAGTAATTAATAGCTAAAACTCAATATGTCGGTAATTGTTTCTTTTATTTTTTATTTCATGATTCTCAAAATTTTCATTTTCTTTAGATGTTGCACGCATCCTCATATACTATACTCCGTTTGCAAATGTAAGTGAAATTATGTTATGCTTTTTTTTAGTACAAGCAAAACTACAAATTTCAAGCAGTATCAATTACATTTTTTTGAAATTGTCTCTCATAAATGGATGGTAAAAAGTAAACATTAATTAGGAGAGCATTTTAATCTAAATATTTCAATCTCAAACATAATCATTATGATCATTAAGTAATTTTTTTAAACTGTATGTGAGTTGGTTGAAATTTCTTGATCTTTATTTGAAACGGAGAGAGTACAGAGGTGTCATTGAATTACAAGGGCACCTTTACCTTCCTTCCCTCGTTTAATTTCAATCATATATAAGCACTTGATATTATATTTCAAGAAATATTAATGGCAAGATTGAAAGATAGGCATAGAAAGAATATAACGGAAGTTTGAGGTAGAGGTTTGGCGGTGTTATTGCTTGTGAAAGTCCACAGACAATGGAATTTTGCACCCAAATTTATTGAATTCAACGCCAAATATAGTTGTCAATTTCTACGTACATTATTATGGCTTTTGCTACTATATGAATAGTCGCCACTGGCTTTTGGTATGACGAAGAAACAGACACCATATGCGTTGCTGAAAACTAAAGTCTTGAAAATGATATTCACACCTTCCTTTTTCACATCACCATTATCTTCCCTCTAGTGGAAGGCAGGATTTAACTTCGTGCATTAGTTAAGAGCAACTTATACTGTTCATGCATTCATTTCAACCGTTAGTTAAGATATAGACTCGGTGTTAGTTTGCATTCTTGCATATACTCCATATCGGTTTTTTAAATATAAGAGAAAAATAATTAACTCATACAATTCAAGATAGAATTGATTAATCATAATAACTATGTCTGACATTAGAAAATTTTGGATTGAAATGCAATTATAATTGATGCTTAGCCCCCCCCCCCCCAATTTAATGATACTATCTACTTTTGATGAGCAATTAAAAAAAAAATAAAATAAATACTTCTTGAAATTTATATTTTTGCTTATAAAAAACAACGAAGCACTCCCTCTGTTTTCAAATAAAAGAGAAGCTACCTTATGTCTTATTTTTTCTTATTATAACCAAAGTTATAAATTTTAGGAATCATTAATTATATTTTTCATAAAGTGTCCATCATAAATGGATAGTATCATTACATTAGAGAAAAATAAACATCAATTACAAGGACATTTTAGTCCAAATATTTTTAATTTTAGGCATAATTATCAGGACTAACTAATCTTAAATTGTATGAATTGATTGAAATTCTCTTATATTTGAAAAACAAAGAACAATAGTTTTTCTTATAATAAAAATAGAGTGAGTATGCTCTCTCTAGTTTTTTATACAAGGCAAGGTTAACTAATTTCACGTTTATTAAGAGATGTTGGTTGTGTCCTCAAAATCACAAATTAAATATTACCTTCCCTTGCAAATAACGACCATGCTAAATCATTATCTAGGAATTCAAACTATAATAAATAAGTTAAGTAAGGGTAAAATTGGAAAATAAAATTAATTGCTCTAAATTTTCCTTACATTTCCTCTGTCCTAATTTATAATACATTTTAGAAAGATTTGGCGGTTCAAAATATAAGACACTTTAATAAAAATCATGTTTTATTAATGGTGCTTTTTCAATAATATCCTCTTTATTATATTCTTTCTCTTTTAATATTTTTCACAAATAGAGTACTCCTCTGATCTTATTTATAAGTTACTTCTAACATGTTACACCAGTGTTAAGGAAAACCTTAAAATTTATTAACTATATCTTAAAATTTAATAAGTTCTCAACTTTATCCATATTAAATATACATACTTCAATAATATATTTTTTCTTCTCAACAATGAGGGTAAAAGTGAAAACTTATGGTGAAAATTTAATGATATGACTTATAAATAGGATCCAAAAAATTATTCTCTCTCTACCCTATAAATAAGATCAAAGAAAGTATTAAACGAATGATATTTTTAAAAATTTATATTTTTTTAAAAAAGTGTGAAGTATATTTAATGGTTGATAAAAAAAAGTGTATCTATTAAATTTATCGGTATGTGTGATTTTGCTCAAAAATATTTTATAAATTAGGACATTCGGAGCATTAAAGACAAAAAAAATTAAACTTTGTTATATACTCCCTTTATTTTAAAATATAGAAGAAAATAACAAATTCTCATAATTTAAAAAAGTTACTTTGATTAAGTACAATAATTATGTCTAAAATTAAAAAATGTAAACTAAATTATCCATATACTTAATAAAACAAATTTGTCCATTGAAAATAGACCTTAACTTTATAAGAAACAATTTACAAAAAATGTGATAAATACTTTTTAAATTTTGTATTTTTGCTTATAAATAAAAACAAAGAAACACATGATAATTTCTCTCATATTCAAAAATGAAGGGAGTATTAAGGACTGAAATTAAATGAGTATATATATAGAGAAAATTTTGTTAAAAGTAGTCTACCAGTTACTCTTTACACTTCGAATTGTCCTCCCCCCCCCCAAATGCAAATACTTCTAATTGTCTTTAATTTGTTATTGGTAAAGGATTTTTTTTATAGTTCGTCTGGAAAAAGTTGTTATTTTTTTATAAATTGATAATTATACAATTAATACCTTCTTCTCCCATGCATTTTTCAAAGTAATTTGATGTACCAAAATGTAAGATGTTTTGAAAAAAAAATAAAGTCTCATTAATTATTATCATCCTAATATTACACCTCATTATTTCCTTTTATACCCTAATCTCAAGTTATTTCACTCCTTAAATATATTCTTTCCTCCATCTCTTATTAAAGAATGACATGTGTGAGAGTTTATAAAAAGTTAAAATTGTAAATTGTATTTAATGAATTTTATTAACATGCATGGTTTCATTAAAAAAAATGCACGGGATGAAGGGAGTGGTATTTATTATGCCTTTTTCCATTTAATTAGATGCAGTATATAAATTTTACTTGAAGAAATAATAAAATTGTACTCGTTAAATTGAATCTATGAGGCCGAGATGAGATGTGGGCACCATATAGTAAGATATCTATTACGTTTATGATTGTGACAATGAAAAAGTAGAAAAGATAAATACCCATGATTCGTCCTTGTCTCTTTTTTCCCCCGATAAAAAGGCAACTATAATTAAGAAATAGGAGCTACAATGTCAAAACAAGATAAACAGAACCAATGTGTTTTGTAATGAATGCAAAGACCATGATGATGCTTAGGGATAACTTTAATCTTGTAATCTACAATGATTTTTAATTAGGATGCATAAACCTTATAATTTTTTATACAATTTGATTTGTTCGTTTCATACACGGATCATCCGTGACTTTGTATTAAAAAAAAATCATGTATGATAGTGCTGGAAGTACACCGTTAACAAACACATTGTAAGAAGTACTCCGTATCCAAAAAATTAAAACCTGATGCGTTCCAACTAAAATTAAGTAGACCAAAATGTTCTTGTAAGAATATAAGAGCCATTTGAAGGCCTTCCAATTGAAGTTTGAAGCTTTCCAATACCGATGAGCATAGAACGAGAAGCACCATGTTTTCTGCTGAAAGCAATAAACCAATGAATGCAAAAAGATACCAATTAATCTCTCCACAGATATAATTAATTTTAATTAAAAATTTTAAGTTATCAATGAACATACAAATTCTTTTTTTAACCAATATATATATAAAAGAAAGCTAACCAATAGTAGTTGAGTCAAATGGAATGTATCTACATAATTCGTCTTAAATAAAGTTAAAAGTTCGTATTTTTTGAATAAAAATTCATATTAGTTAAAAACTTATCCCCAATATAATTATAATGATATTATGTACCTAACATTAACACTCAACCATGGTTCAATTATAGAGGATATCATATGATCATCTCATTATATAAAAATGGAAAATTTCAACTCAACCAAAATCATACACAAATACAAAATATAATGAACATATCTATCAAATATCAAGTGCACATTAACTAAGGTCGGACTGCGTACGCAATTTATTTTTATTTTTTAAGAATCAATGATGATCCAAATTGTTGGCCAAAAACAAAAAATCACGATCCAAATTCCAATATGTTGAATGTGGACTGACCTGCTTATATAATTACAACGCCAAAATGATGTTCCTCTATAACTCTGTTGAACACTTGAATGCTGCCAAGCATTTACGGTTCAACCATCTATAATTAATTGGAACTTACTTATATTAATAAAATGAATATCACGAGACAAAAGGGAGAAAAGTATTTTCTATTTTGGCGTTAAAAATATGAGAGGAGAAAAGTAGAGAATTTGAACGGGACAATTCCGAGACCCTAGTAAATGCTATATTGTTATGTATTTAAGTCCTAAATGGTGACATTAAATTAAATTATTAAACAATAATAGCGAACGATATTTATCTTTATTTTATAAGCCAGGGATATGCAAGTCAACCCTCATGACTTGACCTTTCCTTCTCAGACGACTCTCTCTCTCTCTCTTCATTATCGAAGGTTCTCCACTTGTTGAAATTGCTCTACGACTTTACTCTTCTTCTCAAAGAATTTAAAGGAGGGAGAGGAAAAGCGAATTAAATATATACAGAGGGAGCGAGAGAGATAGAGAGGGAGGGAGGGAGGGAGGGAGAGATCAGAGAAGCTATGGGTAGCGAAGAATTCAGGAAGGAAGACTTCATGGAAGACGATGATGAAGAAGTTGAACTTCCAGGGTTTCGGTTTCATCCCACTGATGAAGAACTCGTGGGTTTCTATCTTCGAAGGCAGCTCGACAAGAAACCGATCAGGATCGAACTCATCAAGCAGATCGATATTTACAAATACGATCCCTGGGACCTTCCAAGTATATTACTTTGCACTCCGAATTAATTACTACTTGTCTGTGTTCAATTATTTGATTTCTTCTCTTCCTTACATCATAGTGTTTCAGATATATATATATATATATATATGAACCAGAAGAGCAAGAAGATAAAGTAGGGTTTTCATTATTAAACGCCCGGCAAGAAAATACTATTACTTACCGTATAAAACAGTTTAACAATAGAGATGGGTTAAAGATTGCTTTGACAGTTATACAAAATTTCTCAGCTTTCCTTTCCATGTTTTCATCTGTTTATTTTCCTTCTCTTTTACGTATAGGACGGCATGTTCTCTGATCCATTCAACTGAGAGGTTTTCCCCTCCAAACCAATACATATAGCTCATGATTATTCATGCAAATTATATAAACATGTAAAAGCGAAAAGCTTGTGATTTACAAGATGTTAACAATCAAATTATTCATCAGAAGCGAGCAGCACGGGAGGGGAGAAGGAGTGGTACTTTTTCTGCAAGAGAGGGAGGAAGTACAGGAACAGCATAAGGCCGAATAGAGTGACGGGATCAGGGTTCTGGAAAGCGACAGGGATAGACAAGCCTGTGTACTCTCTAGGAGGAGAAGCCAGCCATTGCATTGGCCTCAAGAAAACTCTTGTTTACTACAGAGGCAGTGCAGGTAAAGGCTGCAAAACTGACTGGATGATGCACGAGTTTCGCCTCCCTTCTCCTCAAGACGCCGCCGCCACCAACACCGTCAATCCCCCCGCCGCCGCCCTCCAAGAAGCTGTAAGCAACTTTACTACTTTCCCTCTTCCCTTATCACATTTTGTCTCTGTCTTAAGGCCTTGGTCTCTCCATATGAACATAAGGTACTTCGTCTTCACCCGAAGAGACCAGGATAACCTGTGACTTCTTCCCCTCATTATATCATCCTTTACCTATATGACCGGACTTGAAATTTATTTCTGAGAATGTTTTAATGTTATTACATTCATTGTTTGGCACAATAATGTAAGTTTCAGTCCTTGATAAAATCCATTGAGTTGGGGTGTGTGTGTGTATGTTTTGGTATCCAAGTTCCCAGATGATGATTGGTATCATCTAGAATACCCAAATTGTAACATTGTGAATTGTACTTTCTATTACGAGATAAGTCATTAAATGTTGCAGATTTCCAAGTTTGTGGTTCGTTGCAAGGTTAATTCATTATCTGCAGCTAATTCTTATGAGTGATTATTGTATCCAGGAAATATGGACGTTGTGCCGAATTTTCAAGCGAAACGTTCCACCAAGAAAGCACATAACAGACTGGAGATCGCCACAAGCAGGTGCGAAACGTCAATATTCTTCAATCGAGAAGAACACAAGACTTGTAAGCAGTAGCAGCGTTGTGGACCATAGTAACTACAACAACAATAACAAAGAAGCTTACATCAATTTTGGAGGAAGCAATCATCATCATCATGATGGTCATTATTATTCTCAGGTTAATCATCATGATCATGATCATGGCCATCATCATGAGCATAAACCAACAGTGTTCAATAACTACAGCAACAATACTAACATTGATCAGAGGAATAATAATCAGTTCATGATGATGAACTGCCAAGCAGAAGCACAACCACCACAGTTAATCACTGCTTCTTCTTCTTCGTCGTCTTCTAATTACTTGTGGATTAATAACCATTCTGCTGCTGCTGCCAATCACGACTTCTTGACGTATGAGAACTGGGATGAACTTGGATCGGTTGTGAAGTTCGCTCTTGATTCCTCTATCCTGTAAATAAAATATATATATATATATATGTATGTATGTATGTATGTATGTAATTAACCGTCTTCGTATAGTTTTAGTTTTTGGCTGATCAGTGCTTCATTAGGATGGAACACATCAGAGTGATTGGACATGGATTTGCATCTGAGCAGATGTGTCATCTTATACACACACATGCAGTCGAGATCTCGTTATTGATTGGTATGGAATAATTAGTGTTTCGCCTGTATATGCTATCGTCTCCTATATACATCCCCCCCCCTTCCCTCTTTCAATATGAAGACCAGTAAATTAGTTCATATTCCGTTTTTTTTTCATTTTACAGTAAATATTTGGACTTAGCATGATAAAAGGTTTGAAAAGGAAAGAATGACAGTTGGGTCCAAGAAAACCAATTAATTCAAGTTAACTGTCAATCTAACAATTTCAGAGTGCTAACAAAATCAACATTTAGCAGCCAAGTTAAAATTTGGCAATAGTAAAGTCTACTGGCTCTAAGTTATTGGCAATCAAGTTGTAATTTACAACGAAATTGTAAATTTAGAATCTGAACTTGCAAATGTTTAGAATTATTAGATTTGATATTTTACTATTAAAGGATCAAGAAACTTTATTGTTGGTATTTTAAAATTGATTGAAACTTAAATTAATTGGTTTCTTTAAGACTTAACTGTAGTTTCTCTCTTGAAAAATTCTTATTTGTACATGTAAACCAAATTGTCAAAATCTATTATTTATATCTATAGAATTATAATAGATGCGTTAAAATATACTTTTAATCCTTTAAGTAAGGTTTTATTTTGATTTTTTAATTTTATAAATTATCTTTTTAATTCTTTAATCCTAATATCGTTTGTTTTTTATCAGCAAAAACTTCATACATTAACATTTTAAATATTGATAAAACATTATCAAATGTTGAAATAATAAGTTTAGTTTTTTAAAAAATAATAATGATGGATACAAAAAGGATTAAAAGGCTGAAAATATATTTTATAAAATTAAAGAATTAAACTAAAACTTTATATAAAATTAGGGGACCAAAGGAATACCTTTACGCAATAGATTGTATTATGTACTAATTAAGCATATTTTAAGGACTGCAATTTCGCACTTTTAATTTATTCACCGAAAAATTTTGGTGAGTTCTTTTACTTAGAAGAGTAGCATCATCTTTAAAAAAAACAATTATCAATTTACGTAAATCAACACTCCCACGTTGGCAACAGAGCACATTCAATCATTAAATCTATTTATGTTTGTACTTAATGCCGTATAAAAAGTTGTTTATTTTATTAATTGATTTTTATTTGTATTTGGCTGATCTTATATATATATATATATATATATATATAAAGAGAGGTGATAAAATCAAATATGTCAATCGAAGCCGTCCTTGGATCATATGTATATCTTCGACTTCAGTATTTGATGTCAATCCAATATTGTTAATTGGTTGTCCATCAATATTTCACAAACTATTATTGTACCATAAAATTTTTAAATATAGAACGAAGACGCTATAAACTATTTTCTTTATGTTTTTTTCTTGGCCCATGATATTCTCCTTTCAGAGACGATTATATTTCGCTTTTTATTATAAACAAATCCTAAGAATAGAGATTTTTTGTTTTTGGTTTATAAGGCTTCAATTTACTTACACTAATAATCTCAATCAAGACCTTAATCTCTTACACACGCACGCACAAACACATTGATTAATTTGAACTACTAAATCACGTGGAAACGGTGATGGAAAATACTCTTGTAAGTTTAGTAAGACATTTTGCGAGGGGGAACAATGAATGAAGATTTCCTCATTATTTCTCAAAAATGACGAAGAATTTTGTTGCCAAGTTTCCTTCATTGCCCTTGCTAATTTTTGAGGGATTGACGAAAATAAAATTCTACGAAGTCATGCATGATATCCTTGACGATAGTCATTATTAATTTGTAAAACTAATGGCTATAATTATTTCTTAAATATTAGAGCTAGAAACATTTATGGACAGACACCATTTTCCGGCTTCTATCCAAGATTTTTGCTTTTCCTTAAACTTATTAATGCCTAATATTTCTTTGCACGCATTCATGTCGTATAATGCTTCCATTTTCGTAAAATTCTCTCCTTCTTTACAAAATAAATATAGTATTATGGTTCCATTTTTTTTATCATACCCTTTAATATGTTTAATTGTAAATTCAATAGGGTATTCTATTGTAAATTAAAATCATTGGATCAAAAAAAATCAAAAGATTCACATACATGTGCATGTTTTGATTGAACAATATTCAATATCGATGTATAACCACAGAAATTAACATTGATATAAAATATGTAAACCATACCATTTATAAGTTATAAAATATGTAATTTATTTCAAGTTCATGTAATGCATAGAAAAACTTGTCCCGTTAAAATTGGAGCCCCACCTCAGCCTGCAATGAACATTTATCCTTTTTTAGTTTTTTAAAAAATAAAATTATGATTGCAAGCAATGAACATTCAAATAATTGTCGAATAAATTATAATATAATTAAGAATAATCATGCACAAATTTTCGTTCGTTCAAAGTTAAACAGTATCATTTACTATCTTGATTAGGAATACTTTTCATCGGCCTTTAGGCTGTCATTCTGTATTTTATAAAATTGTGAAATGATCAAATCAAATATCACATGGTGAATGACAGATTTATTCAAAGTCAAGGACTTTTCATTTGAAAGCAAAACCCTTTCTTACAAGTAGTGTTAGTCAAATCCATAAACTTAATTGAACACTCCATCTTTGCGTCCCATCCATAACATGACAAACTTTTAAGTAAGGTTCGTTGGTTTTGAAGCTGTTCCTTTTTTATTGTTTTTAAGTGAATATGATGTTCAACTTCAAATTAACATATTGTTTTCAACATTACTATGTCTATTAGTAGATATCTACTTAGCTAGCTTAGCTTGACTTGATATTTTTGAGTATTTTATATTTAATTTACAAAAATTACATTCAAATTGTGTTTGGATAAGTGAATTTAAGTTGAAAATTTAAATTTAAAATCTCACGTTTGAAATTCATGGATTCTAAATTCTTTTTTTAGATGATATAAAAGATTTCAAATTACAATATTAAAATTCTTTATTTGGATCTAAAGTAAAATTTTAAATTTTATATTTTATATTTGAATTTAAAAGAAACTTGAAAGATTGGTCAAACTCGACGATTCGAATGGCCAACTTCCAACGGGATCAGGCAAACAAAGCCAATTGGTACCAATCATGACCAGAACAGGACCTTTGACTTTTGCTAGGATTGGACCGTCACGATAACGGGGACAGGATGACTAACTTCCACTAAAATAGAACTGACAGTCATGACGAGGACAAGATGGGAGACTTCCACATGCACCAGATCGACGGCAACAACTGGGACAGAAAGGCCAACTTACATCGAGATCGGACGGTTGACTTCTATCGAGATTGGATGGCAAACTTCCACCGAAACTGGACTTAAGGGGACTGGACGACTGACTTCCACTAGGATCGGACGACTGACTTCCACCAGGATCGGACGACTGACTTCCACTAAGACTAGACCAAAGGCAACGACAGGGACACTTCCACTCGGACTAAACCGTTAACATCCATAAGGACTGAACCAAAGGCAACGACGGGGACTAGATGACCAACTTTTATAGGGATCGAACCGACGACGATAGGGATTGAATAGCTAACTTCCACAAAGACTGGACCGACAATGATAATGGGGACTAGACGCCCGACTTCTACTGGGACCGAATAGAAGGTGAAAACGGGGACAGGATTGTCGAATTTCACTAGGACTAGACCGACAACGACAATAGAAGTAGGCCGTTAGGTCCCTGTCATTGCCGTCGATTAGGTCCCAGTAGAAGTCAGCCATACGATCCTGGTAGAAGTTGATCGTTCAGTCCCCATTATCGCCGTTAATCCGATCTCGATAAATGTCAACTATCCTATTCCCATCATCGGTTTGGTCCTAATTCAAGTAGAAGTCAACCATCTGGTCCCCTCTTAGCTATTGGTTTGATCTCGATTCAAGTGGAAGTTAATCGTCTGATCCTTATCTTGGCGGTCGGTTCAATCTGAGTGGAAGTGGACCATTTGTTCCTCATCGTCATCGTTGCCATCAATCCAGTTCTAATGGAAGTCTACCGTTCGATTCACATCTTTGTCCCCAATCCGATTTCAATGGAAGTTGGTTGTCCCATCCCGGTCAACAGTGGTAGCTTGTTTTTGTAAATTTTGGCAATTCAATCCAATTACCATTAGCAAGTCGATCAAATCTTCATGCATTTAGGTCAAAGTACAAAAGAGCTTAATTTAGAATTTGAAATAATAGGTATTTAGAAAGGATTTCAAATTATGAAGAAATTGAGGGAGAATTTGAATTTGAATTTTGGTCAAATCTAAATCCATACATTTTTAATTATCCAAATAATGAATTTGGCTCAAATCTAAATCCTAATCCTAATCCTAATCCTAATCCATGTGTATCCAAACGTAGCATCAAGCTATTTGAAAGGGGATTAAAAAAATGTAATATATACGAGTCTCAAGTACAACATTACATTCTGTTGTATACTCCTTTTTGTTGAGTTTATAAATGCATACATTTAATTTAGACACAAACAGTAACTTATCATCATTGTCATCGTTATATATGTAAAGTTAGATATTAATTAAATCCATATATAAAGGTTAGATATTAAATCACTGTATATTCACCTCGCGTAATACTATCTATCGTGCATTATTTTGTAAAAAAAAAAAATGTTATATATTCATTGCAATTTTGCACCTAGTAGTTTTAACTTTTAATTAAATCTTTATCATGGAATTAATCTGGATAATTCGATTTTTCTAAAATTAAATATACGTAATTTTGCAAAATAGTTAAATATTTAACATTTATTGAAAAATTATCATTGTTTGGTCCAACACTAAGATAATGTGCATTAAATTATCTTGGCTAATATGACGAAATCATAATGTGTTTTGACTTTTCAAGTGTGAAATGCGTGCATGCAATGCGCATTGAAGGATACATTAGAATCATCATATGTGTGCATTTCAATTTTGGCTGCTTTTGATAAATTAAAAAATGATTTTCTTTTCCTGTTTTCATCTTTTGTTCTAGACAAAAGATTTTTTGACCAACGTGTTCTAGATAAAAGATGAAAACTTCAAACGTCAAAGTTAC